CTCTCTATCCTCATTCTTACTTCAAGCTTCTTTCAGCTTAAAGTAAAAGACTTTCTTTTAGCAATATCTTTTCTTGTATTTGCTAACCTTTGTGTGTAACTTAAGATTGTTTAGATAGGTTTCTTATACCTTATCTTTCCGCAAACAATCTTGTAAAATATGTATTGATCTTCTCTATCAATATATATTTTAAATTTAAAAATTGTGTTTGTATTCATCCCCTCCCTTCTACAAACTGTTTAGTATTCTTGTAGACCCGTTTGGGACCAACAGTGGTCCATATCTTGTTGAATTTGTTACCGACAGAGCTTCTATTGCCAATGAGCGAGTGAGGAAAGCGGTAAGTTATTCCCATTACACCCAAAGACGTACCCTAAGGTCGTATATCACTTTACTTTTTCTTGGTTGGTCGTTTGATCCGGATTTGTTGTCGTGTTAGATTTTTTCTTACGCTTGAGCATACAATACTTCTTCCACCCAAAAGGATCTAATATATATTTAAATTTTTCTATCAGTCATATTAGTTTCCAAATAAGAAATATGAAATTTGTTACCAACCTATAGTCAGCTTGATCTATCCACCAATATTTGATCTTAATGTTATTAAATGTCAACTTTGAAGTTTAAAAATACCTGAATTATGTAACCTATATTATGCTTTAGATTTTGCGCTTAGAAAGGGCAATGAACTCAAAGAATGATAATATGATTAAGAATAACTTGTTTGGAATGTAACAACTTGAATTGAATGCACTTCCATGTCAAGGTTGGTTATTGTCTATTATTATTTTATTCCTACACAGAATCCTCTCTTTGTGGTTTTTTTTGATTAACCTGGATATCCAACCCGCTATGCGAGTTGACTAATCCTAGAGCGACCACCTGCTTTGCAAATAGTCCGGAGTCACCGCATTTGAACCTCCGTGGCCACAAGGGATTTTTATTTCTCCTTGGATTTGAACCCGGGACCTCCTAGTACTTTTGACATTTGGAGCCAAGCTCAAACCAATCAGGCACCATCCTTGTGGTTCTCTTTGTGGTTGTTGTCACTATGTTTAAAATGTTCCAAATTTTGTTCCCAATTTCAAATCTGAGTACAATTTCATTTCTGGGTAGATACTTCGGTGTATCTACTAACATATCAAAACAATAAAAAATATTTGACGCAACATAATAGATACTGGGAATTTCTTGTAGATTTCCTTTTGCCACTTCTTTAATCTCCATCTTATCTCAGTTATGGGCTTTGTGATTTCCTGCAGTATATCTGTTTTGTTCTGGTAATATCTATATATATGTCTTTAGATTGATTGAATCACCAACAAAGATTCATTTTAGCTGCTTTCTAACTCTTTATCTTGATGTTTTAGGTACAAGGACTATTGTATCAGTGAGGTTCAACTCGCAATCTACAATGGATTTCAACCATATTATGATTTTCTTTGGAGTGTTCATCATGGAAGCTAATCTCCAACTTACACACCCAATATTTTACCAAATGGGATTATGCAACACAATCTTGACTTTTTTGTACATTAACTGTAGTTTCATTTTTCACAAACAATATATTGCTAACTCTCTTTATTCTGTATGTATAACCTATAGTTGGTTTTTTCACACACAGGTGTATGCTGTATGTGGAAACTATCAAGATAGTATGTTTTTTTTTATTAACATGGATATCCAACCTGCTATGCGAGCCGACTAATCCCAGGGTGATCACCTACTTTGCAGATAGTCCGGAGTCACCGCATTTGAACCTCTGTGGCCACAAGGGGATTTTTATTCCTATTTGGATTTGAACATGTGATCTCCTGGTACATTTGACCTTTCGAGCCAAGCTCAAACTAATCAGACACCGCCCTTGTGGTTCAAGATAGTATATTTGGAGTTAATGCTAATGACATCTAGATCTAATGATGATGGAATGGCTATTTTGGTTGCTGTAAAGAATTTGGTGGTGGCATTGCTTAGATTTGTTATTGTGTTGTAGGGTTATGGAGATGGTCTTCCTTTGTACCATTGGTTAATTTTACCATTATAATCATGCAGACTGATGATATATAGATAATGTTATGGCTCATTAGCTTATGTTTTCAACCTGCAAATTCATGCTTATCGGGACCAAATGCTTAAGGAAATTGTCATGACAAAAAGAAATGGACAACGGTTGAATAATTATAGCTTATTTGGCTTAAATCAAGTGTATTATTTGTTCTTGTTAGTTTCTTATCAGATATGTGGGCAATCCGTCTATATAATTTTATACAATATTTTCTAACAAGAAATTATCACGACCGTATAACATACAACGGCGAACACTAGTTTTTAGAAAGAATGCAAGAATCAAAATAGTGTCATAGTTTGTAACACCTCAACCAATATAATGATATTTTTTAAGCTTAGCAGTAAAGTTGGACTAGATAAGGCTGCATTTGGTATATGGGACAAGACATGATAGGACGAAACAAAACTCACTGTCTCACGTTTGGTGCAAAATGAGACATGACAAGAACTCACAGTCCCATGTTTGATGTGACAGGAGACAATGACATGAATTGGGGAAGGTGGAACAACGTAGGACAAAAAAGACGTTTTCTTATTCCACTAAAATAGGTGGAACAAGATGAGATAAGATAAGACAAGAATGAGACAAAAACTAACTATCACCATCGTTACCACTACGTACCACCGTCGGCCACCACAATCGGCTACTACCATCTACCATCTTCACGTCATCCATAACTAGGCATGGGAATGGGCCCGATCCGTCGGGGAACACGGTCCACCCGCCCTGGTCGGGAATAGGGACGAGGATCCCCATATGTCTCAAACTGGGAATGGAGACGAGAATCCCCATTTGTCTCAAACTGGGGATGGGGACGAGGACGGGGACGGGTATCGTACTCCCCGCCCCGTACCCGTTATATATATTAATTAATAATATATATATATATATATATATTTATATACATATATATATATATTATTTATTTCAGTAATTCATAATTTCATATTTTCTAACTAGGTTTATAATCTAAAATTATTATTTTTTCGGATGTTAGTATGTAATATTTTGGATTTCAAGTCAAAATACAATTATTTGATAAGTTTTGTATATTACTTGATATGGTTTTATATACTCAATATCTTTTGGTACATGTGATTTTAAGTTTTTTTGGATTAAATTGTTTTTTTTTTTTTTTTTAGATTATTAATTCTTATATGATGTTGTGATTTTTTTTTGTATTAAATTAAATTCATTTCGGTTTTAGGTTTATAGAAAATGTATGAGATTTAAACATGTATCGTCTTTCACATAATTAATTTAGAATAACTTACATAAATGGAAAGAAAAATCCCCGCTTCCCCGGGAATGTGATTATATTCCCCGACGAAGATGATAACGGAGATAAGGATAGAGATAAGTAATCGGGGACAGGGATAAAGATTGAGGTCCCCACCCCATTCGCATGGCTATCCACAACCACCATCCATCTCCATTACCAGTAGTACCGTCGGCCACCTCCACCTCCACCATAACTAACACCACCTTCACCAATTAATAAAAATCTTTCAAACCGAATAAAACATAATTTCTTCTTTATACAAATCGACTTTTTTCAAACTACCATTAATTATATCAAAAATTTCATTCAAATTTGATACTGTTATATATATGTATATATATATTATATATATATATGAAAATTGTATAAAAATGTTTATAAATTAAATTATTATTTTATTTGTATTAATTATAATTATTATATAATATATAAAATCATCAAATAACTTTTGATAATAATGTGTCTCGCTCTGTCGTGTTAAGTCTTAATCGTACTAAACATCAGATATACACTTGTTCTTTTCCATTCAATCCTGTATAAACTTATCTTCCAGTCCTGTTCAATTATTTCTATGTACCAAATGCTACTTACTCTTGGGAATTCCAAACTTAACAATAACTTAAAAATAAAAATAAAACTCAGTCCACTTGTTGACAAAATCTGAAATCCGACAAGCACTCATCAGTCTCAAAGATGGAGGCCGCCCCACGTCATATATAACACTTTCCTCACCTAAAACCCTTTTTCATTTCCCTCTCTCTCATCGTGCCCTTCGTTTCTCTCTCTAATCGTATGCATTGTGTTCATGTTGTTATGCTTGAATCCTACCCACAGATATGGAGGCAAATGAATTCGAGCTTTTTGCATCTATTTCTCTCTGAATCTTGCAGTTGATTCCTCTTAATTTTGCTGGTACGTTTTTTGTTTTTTTTTCCCTCTGGAACTTCAATTTTTTGAGTTTCAGTGGCGCCAGAGAGATGAAATTAATGTTTGATACTCCTTGGGTTCGAAATGATTTTGTGTTTTCGATTTGATCTTCATTTTTAGGCGAATTGCTTCATCTAATTTGTACAAAAGCTCAAAGAACAGCAGAATGCAACCTTAAATCACTATTTAGAGATTTTTATCATTTGGGATCTTTAATATTGCAGGAAAATTAGTCTTAGAGAAATGTTTAACTTAGAATCTTCATTTTTTTTTGGGTACAACTGAAATTGATTTAACTGGTTCTATATGAGAAGGAGAGTAGGAGAAGGGGGAGCTACTTCTAGATCTTTCTTCACTAATAACTGCTTCATAATTCGTTGCTGCAGGTTTGCCTGTTCATTTTTAATTCTTAAAGTTCGTCTTGAAGTTTGATCTTGTCTGAGGTATATGCTTCTAGAGAAACATCGTTGAGGTGAAAAGGGCATCATCCTCTTGGGATTGTTGTTTTTAATTTGAGGCTTCTAAGATCGATTTGTTTTCTGCGAATCCTAGTGTAATTAATGGAAGGGCCTTCAAGCAAGCTCCAAATAGAATTGATTGCTTCTTTTGTTGACATATGAAACAGAAAGTTTGATACTGCTTCTTGGTGGTAATTTCAGAATTAGATTCATAAGATAGAGAGCATAGGTCGTTTATTAGATATGCGTTGTCTCTTAATGGTTTCCTCAGGGCCACCAATAAAAAAACGGTCTGGTTTGCGGATTAAACAGGCTGGGCGAGGTTCATATCGTGGTAGTTAGTCTGTATTTGTAGTTTTAGATTCTTTCGATCCAAGTTAATCTTTGCTGTACTGGGTGAGTTTTTATATTGAAGAAATAAGATGGGGACTACACCTTTAAGGAGGTTCCTACAGAGTCTTTGCGATAATTCGTGCTGGAATTATGCTGTATTTTGGAAGCTTCAGCAACAAAGCCAAATGTATGTCCTGCTTTTCCTCTTTCGTAGCTAATAGCTTATACTTTCATTTACTGATGTATCTGCAATTTCTTTTGGTGGCGTGTTCTTAGACAACAGCATGATTAAATAACTATTTCATTATCTTTTGTGAATTTACTGGTTCACACACATATATACATACATACCCTGCCCCCTACATATATATACCCGTACACATATAACGACATTCATTAGTGATCTTTTCATAGATTTTCGATCATTTCACACACAAAATCTCAGGAAATTTGTGGGGTATAAATTTGTGTTTTGATATACATATGTGGGCATGCATATTTGTGTATGCATGTGTATATGGATACGTATGTTTATGTATGCGTGTGTGATTACGTATGTGTGTATATTTATAGCTTCACAAATTTGTCAACGGAGGAGAGATGGTGAATGGAAGAAAAATGGAAGAAGAGGGATAGGCGAGGGAGAGAAATGCGAGTGGGGAGAGAGAGAGAGAGAGTTTATTGGTTGTGTTTTTAGTTTAAATTTTAATGTCACTAATAAGAGCTTTTGACTTAAAAAAGAAAAACATATCTTCATTTCATGGCAGGTGAGGGTTGCATAACTAATTTATAGAAACTTTTTGGTGGCTGTTAAAGCTAGGGACTTGATTCGGGAATTATAGTCGCAACAGGGATTCTGGTGCAATTTTTTCTTAGGGACCAAAAGTGAAGGCTGCCAACTACTCTGGGGATCATTTCTGTGATTTTCTTATTGTATTATTCTATTACCCAACTTGGCCCATCATGTATGGTATTTTTTCCCTTGTATGAACCATTTTTCTCATTTGTGATAGAAAATATATCTTATTATTTAGGTTCATGGAGCACTTTAGCTGTGGCATAACTGCATGCTTTTTTATCTCTTTGATCCCAATGTGTTAAACGTTCCCTCTTAAGATTGATGAGTGAGGAAAGTGCACATATAGGTAATCTATTTTATGTATTTCATTAAGAAGAAATGAATATGAATATTTATTACTAGTAGGTAACTGGGGTCATGCTTGCTTTAATCGACTTAATGATATTGATGGCTTATTGGCTAAGCCATTAAGCAGTGTATATTTTTGGCTTGGTTGTTAAACAATGGTTGGAAATGGTGATTGGATAAGCCACTGCATACATGTTGTCTACGATAAACCATCTTATTCCAGACAGGTCCTAAAGGAGGAAAAAAGAACAAACAGCCCCCAACTTAGGAAACTAATGCAGGAAGGCGTTGTCCCTGCGACTTGGTCCCTCCAACTGAGGTCTTCTCGCCYGCTGCCAGGAAGATTCGATCCCAATGACCGCCTCGCAAGACCTCTGTACTTTTATAAGAGATAAACCCCATTTATCTAGTTTTAGCTAAGTAAAAAGAATATATATACTAACCTTATCTTTTGTTGTTTTGCTCTAATTAAAAATTGTTTGACCACAACCACCATTCAGGTCCTCGTAACTTTTTATTTGAAAAGCTATACATGTCCTTCATAATGATCAGCGAGTTCTATCATTATGTTTTTCATATTATGTACATATTATGTACACTATCTTTTATGTCAATATATAATAGAATATTCGTCTTCAATTTTAGGCTTTTGATGTGGGAAGATGGATACTTTGGCACCTCCAAAGGTCAAGATTCCATGGGAAACATGTTTGCTGAGACTAACTTCAGCGGCTTAGAAGAAACAACCTCATTTAACACATATAATGGAACATTGGGTGGAGATGCAGTCGAACTAGCAGTGGCTTATATGTCAACCTTTCAGTATGCATTGGGTGATGGGTAAAGCCTTTACTTTGCCCATGTTTTTTGTGTGTGATGGTTGTTTGCTGCAGTAGCCCAGAACATTATATGTATGTGAACATGTTAAAAGCAACAAATTTTGGAGATAACTACACCTTTTGGTTGTCAAAATCAGTGCGAATTCCATTTGCAAACCAAAATCATATCAAGATTGGCAGCAGATCTTTAATCATATTAGAAATTGCATAAGATTTATCGTAGATTCCTTGCCTAATGCCATATTCGTGGATTTGTGTGTAGATTTTGTTGATTCAGAAACTCATTTAAATTCAAATGAATGTGTTCTTTTTGTTGGTATTTGATGTTGTAATAAAGAACAAATAGGACAAAAGAAAATATTCTCTTGATTACTAGAAGCATATTTTGGTGTTATATTTCATGTTTTATGGTTAGACAGATTATATAAGTTGGCAGAGAAAACATCAAACTGAAACGAGTCATGAGATCTGTGCGTACTGATTCTTCATTCGATTCACGAATTGACAACTATGGTCATACTTGATTACAAAATCTCTGGAAACTTTTCAATCATGTGATTGGTATCAAAGAAATGAAAAGTTACTTGCTACGTTTCTCTAGAACTTCATAATAGATGGAAAATCATGGGATGTGTTCCCACACCATGAGACACTAAAGGCCTGTTTGTTAGCTGCTTAATGAGCTTAATGAGACTCATGGCTTATTCGGTCAGCAATAAATGACTGTTTGGTAGTGGCTTATTTAGTAAGCTTCTTAGGGGG